AATAGTTAGGTCAAAATTGTTAATCAATTAGTTGCCAACTCAGCCAACTAACTGATTAATCGATTTTCGATTCATATCACTACACTTTAGTACCTTTATCAACATCTTCATTTACTCTCATGCATTCATCTACTTTAGCATCTTTTTTCACAATATTATTAATTCTTATTGCTTTATTTACAACATTATTAATTTTTATGCCTTTATTCACTCCAGCATCTTTATTTATTTGCATTTCATATATATTGTCCAGATAATTTAAAAACGTATCTCTTGTATAATTCATAAATAGATTCCACATATTGTTTGTGAATGAGTTTTCTATAGGATATGTGAATGAGTTTTCCATAGAATATGTAAATGAATTTTTCATAAAATATGTGAATGAATTTTCTATAGGATATGTGATTGAATTCTCAATATTATATGTAAATATATTTTCTATATTATTAGTAAAAGTATTTTCCATATGATTTGCAAAAGTATTTTCTATATAATTTGTGAAAGTATGTTCTATATAATTTGAGAAAGTATTTTCTATATGATTTGAGAAAGTATTTTCTATATTATATGAAAAAGCATTTTCTATACAATTCTTAAACATATTTTCTCTTTTGCAATTTGCAAATGTATTCTCAGCCATATGATTGATAAATTCAAAGATTATACTTCATAAACGTGAAGATTAATTTCTGTTATTTTGAAGTAATGTCAATTATATATAAGTTATTATTTTACTAAAATTTCTGATCCATTAATTGCAATAATTACTTACATAAATTTGGATCTTTTTGATTTCTAATGTTTCTCAACTATATAGTCTTTTGTTCGCACCTTTATTTTATATTTTTTTTAATGTATTTTTTATTTTTTTTTTATTTTAATTTGATTTCTTAATTGCCTAACATTCCAACTAGTTGAATTACACTTGTTTTATTGCCACTATTCAATATCCAAACCACAATCTACATTTTAAAAGTAATATGTATATTTTTTAATTCGTTTAAAGGTTAGTATTTTTATTTTATGCACCTGCTTTTTATTCTACTACTCCTCTTCACCTTTCTAATGCTAAGCCTCTCCTTTATCACCA